AGGAAGGAAGGAAGGAAGGAAGGAAGGAAGGAAGGAAGGAAGGAAGGAAGGAAGGAAGGAAGGAAGGGTCTCCTAGATATATTAAACAAAACTGGTGTTCATTCAATCCTTGCAATTTTTTTCCCTTTGTGCTATTGATTTGTTAGCAGCTAAAAGTCAAGATTGGGCAAATGTGTTAGCTAAAAAGTGATTGTTTTTAATGTAGAGTTTAAGCAACTTGAAGAAAAATGTCATTTACCATGTTTGTGTTTCACAGTAAAAAAAAAAAGTATAATAAAACACTGTACACTGACTCCATCTACAGGTCATTATAATAGTAACACCTCGTACAATTTTTCAAAACAGGGAAATGCTTCTTGATTTTTTGGTGCAAATCTCGGTTCTGGTGAAACATGCAAGCCAGCACGTGATGTGGAAAAATTGAGAAAAGAAACAGCCTTTCTCTTCTCTCTTCTCTTCAGAAGATCAGCTTTTTCTTCTTTCATCACTGATCTGCTATATAAAGTATTATATCCTTTTATGTTATATTTTTTTAGAAAAATGCAGTAAAACTAAATTGGATTGTCTCTGACACTGATATCCTTTTTATCAATATATATTATTTGTAATAAACTTAATTTAAATTACTGTCCTGAACAACGGCTATTACCAGTGCATCAATATTGGTATTTGTAATTTAAAGGAAAAGATGCATTTTTCATTCATTAGCTCTATTGCTAAAAGAAATGCAATCTATGTAGATATTGAGTGTAAGAAGACTTTCCATTTACTATTCAGGCAGGATTCTGGCAGGTGAAATGGATTTCATTCAACTAATGTTAGTGACAGTCTTCCCAATGAAGTTACTGCTTGATCATGCAAACTGCCTGCTGATATGAAATGTTTCATTCATATGTATAACAACACAGATTATTATTATCATCATCATCATCATCATCATCATCATCATCATCATCATCATCATCATCATCATCTTCAGTCCACTATCTTTACTGAAGTCTACTTTCATGAAGAAAAGCCAATCTTAAAGTCGTTCAGTCTGATTTCATTCCTTCAGTAAAAGCACAAGATCATAGGAGCAGAAACATTCCTATGTAAAATGCTATATGCAGCATAACTGCTGGCAAACTTTATCTGCAAAGAAGACTATTTCTCTTTGTAGCTACATTGAAATCATTAATCTATTCACAGTTCAGATCCAATAGTCCTGGCTAAACTCTTTCTCAGCCACAATTCCACCTAAGATGTTTTGCAATCAAGCTTTAGTTTTATTTTAATTTCCGCATATTTTGGCTTAGGTGGGATTTAAGCAGAATCAACCTCCCCCTCAAAACAGTGTGTGTGAATCAAACCTTTTTCCACACTTGCTTTTAAGCCATGATAAAAGACAATCCATATTTTGTTTTTAAAAATCAAAACTCTTTTCCCACCTTTTTCCAGGTAAGGTGCTCATAAGAAGAACCCAGGCCCAAAAATGGTCATAAAGGAGATGCATCATTTTGCTAGTAGATTATGGAAGCTGTAAACAATAGAAAACCATAAGTAAGCATTCTTTGCTTTGACAAATTATTGGAAAATACAACAGGTTTAAAAGAACTTGTGATGGTTTTCCTTAAAAGTAAGGAGCAATCTCACAATGGTATGATTTTCAGAAGGAAAGGTCCCTTCCAGTTATACCTATGTGTTCCATTTTCTTGAAAGTGGGGTCATCCCTGAGTTAGTTTCATAGACAAAGGTTAAATCATTTTCTTTTCCAAGATCATTGGAATTCATATATATATATTCATCCCTAAAAAGGATTACTGTTAAGTTCACAATTTGTACATCTATTTTATAATATCACAGAACTTAGAAACTATTTCAGCTTTAATGAGTCAGATCCCACAACTTGATTATCTCGGGGGGGTGGGGGAGAGGAAAGGTCTTCTCCTAAAGCCCTTGAAAGCTCTAGAAGGTCCTCAAAAGGACAGAACTTTCTTCTGGAGAGAGATCCAAGCATATACCCATTTAGCAAGCTAGTTGAACAACATCATACATTTTAAAAAGCTGAACAGGAGTATAAGACACAGAATTTCAGTGCTTTCTTTGACTAGTATTAGTTCCATACATTCCCAAAGCATATGAAATGAAATAATGATGAAGATTATTGCATCCACATTGCCTTCAAACCTTTCCTTCCTTCCTTCCTTTTTAGAATATCCTATTGCAAAATATTCCACATAGCACCTTTTCACTTAATGGCTGAGTCCAGTCCAGTTTCAGTTAAGATGTTTTCTAAAAGCAAGCCTGCTCTATATTTCCCACCACCCCTCTTGCAAACTTAACTGGTAATTTTGCAAGGCAGCCTGACCATTGTAATACTCCTGTTCATAGCCCAGGCTTAGCTGCTTGCTGCTTGCTCCTTGCTCCATACTTACTGCTGAATCCACTTCGGTTGCACTGTTTCTACCAGATATGTCCTTCCTCCTCCTCCCTCCTTCTCCCAAACCTCCTGACAGCCCTGAAGCTGACTACAGTTTAAGAGAGAAGCAGAATGCCAGGCAACATAATATAACCACCATCACAAAAAATGCAAAGAAGAAGAAAACCTAACAGGATCCTTGTATAAAATGTCCAAAACCTAAAGCAAAAGGCAAGGCAAGGTGAACAAAATGATGACAGGTGTCCAGGTGGAGTGTAATAGATGGAGGTTCACAATGCTGCTTTTCCTGGAGAAAGAAGAAGAGTGTTGCATCTCTAGGAGAGATGAGAAAAGCTCCACTTCTTTTCAGCCTGAACTTTTGCACTGAACCTCCTCTAGCAAGTCATTTCAGAGATACCGGCAGATGGCAAGACGCGTTCTTCTTACTCTACATTTCTCCCATACCGCCCCCCCCTCCTTAAAATAATTAATGGGAATGGGGGCAGGGAGATACATTGCTATAGTTGCCTGTGGATGAGAGGGGAAAGTGGGAGATCACCAAGTGTGAAAACAAACCACACAAACAAACACATCGACCAAACAAACCAATCTGCTCCTGATCCTTTCCTGCCGCTCCATTCTACCACCCTAATCTTGGAATAATTGAAATAAAAGAGCAAAAGGGAAATCCCAGTCCATCTCTTCCCCACTATGGGCACATCCGTTCAAACCTGGAGCCATCATTCAAGAGGCATTTTTGCCTTGAGTGTTTTTTTGTTTTTTTTGCCTGCTTCAGAGCCAGAGATGGAGACATGGTCAAAAGGGGAGGGAGGGTGGTATTTATGGATTTGCAGCCAGCATATCAACTTTGTTCTCCTCTCCCTGAGACAGTCATCCATTGCCCCCAATCCATCCAGCTCTGGTTGGAAACGTCTGAAATAATCCCTCTTAATCCTAGGGTCTCCATTTCCTCCGCTTTAGTCCCCCCAGCCCTCCAGCCCACCTCCTCCTCCCCCGAGTCTGATCAATTGCCCATCCACCGCTGCGGATTTTCACCCGGGGTCGGGGATGGGGGAGGTAAAGGGGGGGGGGAAGCTGGGTCCAGCGTTCCGACGAGGTACCTGCTAAGGCAGAAGGCAGCAGTAAGGAGCCCCCTCCGTCCATAAATGCTCCGCCTGTGAAAAAGGGAGCGGGCTGGCAAAGGGAAAGGGGAAGGGAGGGAGCCTGAAAAAAAGATGCTAGAGCGGTACTCACCTCGAGACCCTCTGGGCACGGCGTCGCCGATGCAGCGGGAAAGTCTGCCCGAGAGGCTCCGCCAAGAAGCCAGGGCGGCGAGGAAGGAAAAGGGCGCTTTAGAGCACTGAGTCTCCGCGGCTCTTCTCAGTCATTCACGAGCTCTTAGCCATCATGGACTCTGCCGCCGCCGCCGCCGCCGCCGCCGCCGCTGCTGCTTTGCTCTTCGATTTTTAACACCCAGATTCCCTTTCCGTGGGATTCGGCTCGCAGCTCTACAACAAAAAGCTTTGCACTTTACCAAGACAGTAGTAGTACGTCCCGGGGTAAACCGGATGTGAAATAGGCTGTGACTTCATGCCAGAGAGATTTTATTTTAGAAAGGAAGGTGGTACCAAGCTCTCATCTAGAGACCAATCCGCCCATTTTTTTTCTCCAAATATGCAGCACAATTTAACTTCAGCGCTCTCGCCCTAATCTCTTTCTCTCTGGCTGCATGCTCAAATCTTTTCTACACTCTGCATCACGATGGCTGTTGCTGTTGTGGTGCTTACTGTGGCAGAAAGGAAGGGAAATATTTTGGAGACCAGATGGAGGAGAGAAACTACACTTACAATCTTCAGAGAGTTGCGACCGAAAACTGGTGCGGAATAATGATAACCGTCACTAAACACCACCCTCACCACTCATCCGCCCCACTCTGCCTCCTTTCTTATTCAGTCTTTGGACAAATATTCTCCCAGTTTATAAATATACAGGGTACCTGGAAGAGATTAAAGATCTCTCTTTCTCTCTCTCTCCCTCCCCCCTCTCTCCCTCCCCCTCTCTCTCCCTCCCTCCCTCTCTGTCGTTACATGCACCCATTTGGTATGTTTTCTGTGTGATTTCATTGGAAAGGTCTCGTGCAGCCAGAGAGGCACAGGGTGCTTAATTCAGGCTTCAACAAAGATCTGTTCAAGGCGTAAAATGCTTAAGCCACTCTACATCTTTGGTTACTCTTAATTGGGAGGTAACATTTGTCTAAATCTTTACAATATTGTGGAGAAAGGCAAGCTCTGTTAGGAAGGGGGGGTATATTTTGACAGAGGTGTGTGTATGTGCCACTTCTGTTTCTGAATGAACTGTTCACTTACTTTGCCAAATGGTGCAGGAGAATAAGTAATAAAAGCAGTATTTTTTTTAAAAAAAAACAATATCCTTTAATATTAGTTTGAATAAAAGTCTCTTACCAGTTAAGCATCCTTTTAATGTTTCAAGGAAGAATCTCTCACTATGCACAGTGCCTAGCACAGTAAGAAAATCAATTGGACAATAATAAACTATTAGGCCTTAAATACTAGACTTTCTGTAAGTATACATATACCTTCCTATAGCTATAGTGCCTTCCTTCTCCTTTTTCTTACTACTCATCTGTGGAATTCAACTGCTCATTTTATGAATGGGTGCATTTCTAAAAGCAAAAAACAGCTGATCAACAATGGAGCTCTCCATGGTACTGGAAAGCCAAAAGAGAAGGAGGTACTTTTTCAAGCAGCACCTACCCTAGTGAACAGAATGAAAACAAAAAACAAAAACCGGCCAATTGTGAATGCTCTTTTGCACAAAATGCAAATTTTCCCCAAAAGCTAATAACTTGGAAATTTTAAGAAAAATCATTTTACTGGATTTGGATACAGTGGTCTGTTATGGAGTGGGTGGGCATTGAAAAAGAGATGATAGCATTGTCCTGTGCTGAAAATAAAAATCATTGGCAATAAGTCAGGTGAATAAGAAAGCAATACCTCAAGAAGGTTAAAGAGAAGGAGAGAGTTAAACTGGGGGCTTTACTAAGACTTTGAAAGATTTGGGGGAGTAATGTTCATTCCATTTCATTCTTTCTCACCATATTATGTGTCAATGTCATTCCCTCCGTCTCTGGAAAGAAAATTGCATCATTTTTTAAATAAACCTCCTGTATTCTGCAAATATTCAGAATCTTTTCTGATGCTGAGATTTTGTAGTTCAATAATTTCTCAAAGGATTATATCCATATGAAAAAGTTGATGAAGATGTTAACCTCTTGGATATACTTTTTGTTAGGTTTTAACTTAGCAATTTCCAAACTATCAGCGTATACCTAATCTTGGGAAGGTGACAGCAGCAGAAGTATAGTCTCTTCTCTGAAGCATGAGATGAGGGTGGTGGTAAAATATAGAACTCTGGGTTTTTTCTTTATTGTTCTTTCTCAAAAACCAATCTTTAACTTTGCATATAAGTTAATTACGCCTAAGGAAAAGAAGAACAAACCAACATGCTGCCTGTACCTTTTCCTTTACAATTGTTATAAATCTCTGCATGTCAGGCAACTGTTATAGAGGAAAGGCTTCTCAATCTACATAAGCTTTTTTCCCTGTTATTTAAAGTGCTTGAATATTGGCATTCTAAACTCCTAGAGGATGCCTTAATAGAAGAGGATATATTCCACAGATAGTTGCCTACTTGGGTAAAAGACAAAAAGAATAGCAGTTGAGTTCATCCCTGTATCTCCTGCTACTGGCATGTGGAATTTATGCCAAAGAAAAATAATAGAGGTCTTGGGAAAGAATCCTGCACTTCCAACAATATTAATACAGGAAAATCATGGAGCAATCTCATGCCTGAGTAAAAGCTCCAATATAGCAGCCATTATGCAGCCATTATGACTAGTCTAGTGGCTTGCAAGATGTAAACCAAGAGAATAGAAGTGACATTAAAGAAACATATTCTGGGTATAGATTTTCCAGTTGTGTTTTTTTCTGCCTATTGAAAGTCATGGGAGTGAATAACTTATATTCCTGCTGTTTGACAAAGCGGCTGGCTAAATAAGACCATTTCTGTCATTCAATGCTGACCAAGTATATCCAAGTAGGACGTAAAGACAAAGGCAGCTTCCAGTACCAAGTACCATTTGCCTTTAATTTTAGTGGAAATATACAAGTCATCATGATTAAGAACCACAGATAGCTCTATCCTCCATTAATTTATTTCGTTTCCTTTTGAAGCCATTCCAGTTGATAGCCATCATCAAATCTAATTCCACTGTTAAACACTATGTTATATAAAGAAGCAATTTATTTTATTATCTCTGAATCTTCTCTCAATTAGCTTTGATAAATGATTCAAATTCTAATTTTGGGAGATAAAAACTTACCTTTGTCCACATTTTTTCATACTACATGATTTTATATTATGCCTTTTCTTACCCTTCTAAGCTAAAAATCTGTTTCTCCATAAGGTAACATAAGTTAAAAATCTCATATATGTCTTGTTTGCTTTCTTCTGTATTTTTTCTAGGTGAACATTCTGCAGTGAGATGACCAGGAAAGTGCTCAATATTTTAAAGGCAATCACAATATAGTCATTTTAAAAGGTTTTATAGTTGTATATTCAGTTCTTTTTGTAATCATTCAGTTTGATGGAGATGGAAATTCAGGGGATTTTGGATGGAGATCTTGAATAAGGGAAGGAAATATTTTTTCACTAGTTTCCCCCCAAACGTTTTGATCTCTACCCACAGTGATATGGGTAGAGTTTTTAATTTGATCTTTAGTGGCAATAGATAAGCCATGAATCTTTTAAAAACTCTCTTTCTCTTTTTCATGTTTTGTTATAATATTTTGAATGCTAGATTGATTTTAAAAGAAACCCATAGAGCTAGTTTTCCAATCAACTTGTTTTTCATCATACAGAGCTTTGTGCTGTTTGAATTAAAGTATTTTTGGTTTACTTGTTTTATATAGAAAATAGCCATATGGACCGCAAACATATGTGGTTGCTTGAGATAAAAATGATTACAGGGTTGCTAGTTATTTAAAAGGAAGCTTTGTTATTAGGTATTATTAGATCCAATTCAATATTGTACATGAGGACTAATGACACAATACTTCTCATTAGTAAAATATATGAGCATAAGAAGACACTACTTCTCATTAGTAAAATATATGAGCATAAGAAGGCAGCTTATTTTAACTCTTTTTTAGGATGTAAAAAAATACGATCGTCTTCATTGAATGTCCTTGGAAAACTTAGAGTGCAATCCTAATGTATTAAAATAGCCTGAAATTATGATATAGATTTGAATAGCATATGACTAGTATACTTAGTGAATGGCAAATTATAAGTGATCTTTGTCAAGCAAACATGTAACCTCATCTCTTGTCTGTCCCACCAAAATGCACTCTTCTAAAAAGCATTGTATCCCAGATTTAACTTAACCCATATAAATGCACACACCGAAAGGGGGAGGGAGAAGGAGAGAGAGAAAGAGGGAGGGGGAGAAAAAGAGGGGGGAGAGAGAGGTGTTTTAAAGTTAGTTTCATATGTCACCTTGACCTTAAGTTCAACTACATTTAAGAGATTTTGACTGAATAATACTTCAGAATGGATTCCATCATCCTATTTTCCAAATCACTGAGAAAGATTCAATTTCATTTCTTCCCTGAAATACAGTAGGCACGAGGAAAAGAAATACATAAAAAATAGAAGCATCCTGGGTATGTGTCAATACACTCCACATACTTTCTAAATGGTGAGGTGTGAGAATGTGAGAATAGAATGTTGGTTTGCTAGACATTTTCTAGATTGCACAGAATGGCATTAGCATGTTTGAAGTAAAACTGGATGTTGGTTGTGCTTGAAATGGAAAGGTCAAAATGAACCCAAATTGATTAGTACTGGCTTTACTATTAGCATGGAAATCTTCATTGTGGGATGACTGACTGAGGCTAGTAACCAGTGGTGGGTTTCAAAATTTTTTAGAACCTCTTCTGTGGGTGTGGCCTGCTTTGTGGGAGTGGCTTGCCAGCCATGT